CAGGGGGCAAACGTTCCTGGCTGAAACCACGTGCCCAAATACAGGCTCTCTGACGTGAGGGTTTTGTATGCGTAGCCCTCCCGTTCGGTTACCGTACAGGTAGAGGTGGTCGTGCCTCTGCAACGCTCCCCCTGAGCTTTGCCAAGCTGCACATGTTGACCTCTGAGCCTTTAACGTGGGTGCCTGTATGCCGGTATACGTTGCATATTCTTGAGATACCCTCCCCCTTTTATTATTGAGGAGCATTTGTGCTGCGTACCACAGCAGCATCCCGGGATACGGTTGGCTTTCTGGGCTGCAAGGAACAGAATCCAGATCCAAATTATAACTTAGCATCCTACGCCTAATGCTGTCAGTTTCGTGCACGTTCTCTCCCAAAAAAAGGCTGCAGAGGTGAAAGCTATATTGTTGGGATAGTCAGGCGTCTTCACGCGTCTTCTTACGACACTTGAAGACAACCGAGGGAGGAGGAATCTGTTGCCCTGAGCTGACTCGGAGATTCTTGTGCCTTTTGTTTAGGCCTTCAGGTCCCAGTAAAGCCTTGAAACTCGGCGCTAAGGGGAAGGAGGTGGACAACTTCGTGGACAAGCTGAAATCAGAAGGAGAAAATATCATGACTTCCGTAGGCAAGCGCTCTACAGAAGCAGCCAAAGTTCTTGCTCCTCCCATTAACATGGAGAGGTAGGTGTTGCCCTCGCTTTGCAAGCAGCCTCCTCCTCACAGCTCTCTCTGGGATGCACGTGTTGCTTCGTGAGCTAGCTTCCTTTATAGTTCCCAGAACAGGCTTTTTCCTGCCGCTCAGGTCACCTGTGCTCGCTCGGTCTGTTCATTTTAAAAGGTGGTGGGCAAAATCTTGTAAAGCACAGCAGCAAAACAAGGAGATAGCTAGTTCAATTCAGATTACACGTCTGCCGTGCCGTCTGTGCTGTTCCGTTTGGGGCCATCGTGCTCTTGGGAGCACTTGCTCGTGACACGTAGCCTGTGTCTCACCTTGCCTGTTAGATGCCAAGTGTAGGACTTGAGATATTTGGGTTTTTTTCCTGTCCTGTCTAGCGTGCACATGAAAATAGAGGAGAAAATTTCCTTGACTTGTGGCCGTGACGGGGGCTTGCAGAACATGGAGCTGCACGGCATGATCATGCTGCACATTTCCGACGAAAAGTTTGCACGGATTCGCCTGCACGTAGAAAATGAAGACAAGAGGGGAGTGCAGCTACAGGTAAAGCCTGTTTGGTGTCCCGTGCTGACAGATGTGCTGTTGCTGCTCTCTGGGGTAAAGTTTTGGAAGCACTCGAGTGTGTTGCTGTCCTGCTTTCTTGTCCAAGCTTTCCCAGCAAATGCATTGAAAGTGGGAGTAGTCACTGCAGACAGCATAAATGCAGGGCCAGCTCACGCTCAAAAGACTGAAGTTCACTTGAGAAATCTGGTCTTGCGCGCTTATCTTTACTGCACTTGGAGCCTTATCTGTCCAGTAACGCACATTGGCACGCTGTCTGATCTCACTTGGACTTTGCAGCAGCCTGGTGCCTTGCTCAGCGCTCCTCTGTGTGAAGCCAGCTTTGCTTGTGGAGCGGGAGTGTTAGAATTAAGTTACTGTGCTAGCGAGGAATTAATTTATTATCTAGAAAGCCGTTTCTTCTCGAGGTTGTTCATGTTCTGTCACTGCTGCCTCCGAGACAGTTCCTGGAGCCAGAGCCCTTGATCACAGTCAGCAAGAGCAGCTCAGAAGATGCTTAGAGACATGTCCTCACCTTTCTCCCTCTCCATTTGTGTGACCTTACTGGGCCCTGGATATTGTGCTGCTTTGATAGGCTCTTTTCCTCCCTCCTCCTCCTCACCAAAAGCTTTTCTATACGTGGCTGGCTGCAGGTCTGCTTATACAGCAGGAGGTTCCTTATCAACGCATCTCGTGAGTGAGTGAGTTCCTGATGATGCTCCCGGACGAGATCAAACCCAGTGCTGACTCCTGCCTTTCTGGTTAACTTGCAAAAATCCTCAGCTTCTAAAAAGCAGCTTGCAAAGAGAATATTGAAACCGAGTTTGGCTGCTGTCATGCGTGCGCACTAAGGTCGCTGAGGGAAGTAGTATGTTTGTGCTTTGGAGGTGTTCTTCCCAGCAGCATTAGGTTGTTTTTCCTTCAAGAGAAACAGCCGATACGGGTCTTTGGGATGGTGCCTGAGCTTTTAAGAGCTGTTCGAGTCATGCTCTAGGTTATCAGCCCAGGAGGTGCCTCTCTAGGGTGTCTGGCACAGTGGCCAGTAAAAATCACGGTGGTGTGGATTCTTTGTGGCAGATCAGCATTTTCTGGAAGGAATCTCAGTTCAATAAGCAGATGTGCTCCGGCTGGGCTTCTGAGCAAGGAGCGAAACTGATTGCGTACTTTGAGGAAAATACTCTGGGACGCGTAGGCCTGTCTTAGTAGAACCCGCATTACCTACGTGCAGTTCTCTCCTTGGGCTTAAGAGTTACAGCCCGAGTATATGTTCCCCTTTCAGACTCACCCCAACGTGGACAAGAAGCTTTTCACTGCAGAATCGCAGATTGGTTTGAAGAACCCTGAGAAGTCATTCCCTATTAACAGCGACGTGGGCGTGCTGAAGTGGAGGTTGCAGACGACGGAAGAGTCCTTCATTCCATTGACGAGTGAGTGCGAGCGTGCGTCTGGGGGCTCGGGCAGAAAGAGGCTGATGTTCAGCCACAGGCTTGCCGGCTTCTAGGCTGGAGCGCGGCACGTTGCGAGACGTTGCAGATACCACGTGTCTTCCGTTGGATGGTACCTGTTCTCAGCAGCATGCGTTTTCTCTTGGAGAAAACAAGCTTTTCTTAAAGTCAGAATTTCTTGGGGCTAGCTCTGCCGCGTGTTTCGAAGGGCGGCATCTTTTGAGAGCCCGTGCCACATAGAAAGCCAGCGTGGGTCAGCGTGCCGTTTCTCTTCCCCTAGTTAACTGCTGGCCATCAGAAAGCGGGAACAGTTGCGATGTTAACATTGAATACGAGTTGCAAGAGGAGAGCCTAGAGCTGAACGATGTGATCATCACCATCCCCTTGCCGTAAGTAACGCTCCTCGTCCGGGCGGTGCTAACATGTGCCATCCTGGATCCCGTCGGTTCCTTCCCCTCCCTGGCCGCGCCGACGGGCTCGACAAGCGTTTGCTTAGCTCTGTATGGGTAAGCTATTGTAGCCTCTCGTTGCCTGCTCTAGGTCCGGTGTTGGCGCCCCGGTGATTGGGGAGATTGATGGCGAGTATCGCCACGACAGCCGGAGAAATCTCCTCGAGTGGTGCCTGCCAGTGATAGATGCCAAAAACAAGAGTGGCAGCCTGGAGTTCAGCATAGCAGGGCAGCCAAATGACTTCTTCCCCGTGCAAGTCTCCTTCATCTCCAAAAAGAACTATTGCAACATACAGGTATGGTGGCTGCCGGCGCTCCGCAGGCACGATGTCGTTCTTGCCTCGGTCATCCACCGGCTAAAGACGGCTGTGCTGGGGCACGTGGGCCCTGCGTAGCAAAGGCATAAAGTTGCCCCTGCCTTGGCTGGATTCGGGAGTGCCAGCGGATGCTTCCCAGAGCTTGCCTGCGTTTTCGGGCCTGGGTTGATTCTGTCCTCGTGACCGCCCAGGCGTCAGAAAGCACCGCGTAGCCACGGTGGGGAGCGGCGTTCGATGCCGAGCTAACCGTGCGTGTTGTCTCCACAGGTTACCAAAGTGACCCAGGTAGACGGGAACAGCCCTGTAAGGTTTTCCACCGAAACCACCTTCCTGGTGGACAAGTACGAAATCCTGTAACGCCAGCCGTGGGGAATCGCAGAGGAAGAAATTT